TCCTCCGATTAAGGGATTAGGGTTTTTATATACATTACTCTCGCTCTCGCTCTCTGTGTTTGTGTGTGTGCGATTTTTTATCTTCTGATTCTCCTTTCGGATTCGCTCGACGAAGATAGTCGTCATGGTTGTTGATTCGATCACAGACTCTGAACTCTTCCATGGCTCTCCGATTTCAAGAGATTTCGTCAAGAAACGCAAGGTCAGTTTTCGAATCCTTCGATTGCGATCTTGTATTAAAGTTACTACTACATACATGCGTGATTCCAAAGAAAAGCATATATGTAATTCGCGTGATTACGATCTTTTGGGTGTGTGTCGAATCTCTCCGATACTTAGATCTATCCGAAATTCCCAGTTTCTGTGTGTGAAATTCTCGCTACACAGAGTATAATTCCTTGCGATTTTGATAGTTTTGAGGAGGATTGTTGTTGATAATCGTCGTTTTTCGTTGCTTTTTAACCGTGGAATTGCGAATTTGATAGATATTCATGCGTTGAATCTTTGGTTACAGGCGAATTGGATTTGGAAACTGAAGCAGTGGAAGATTGATGCTCGTCGCAGGCAATGGATTTATCAATGTAACGAACGCTTATAATCTTTGATTTCAATGTTCCGTTTTGTTCGATCTTGTGTCAATGTTAATTGATGAGTTGTTTTTCGTTAATGGTTAGGGAAGAGAGGGAATTTAGGTGAAGAAGGAAATGGTTCTAGGCTGGTGAAATCTTTACGGGACAAACTGAGTGATAGAAGAACAGGCAGCGACCCGGTTTCTTACCTTCATCAAGCTTGTAGGATTGATCATGAAGAAGGAAGCTTTAAATTCACTAAATGCGACGATGATGATGATGAGACTGATCTTGAAGTAACATCGTCTATGTCTGCTAGTAGTCCTACGAGTGTCCTCAAGAACAAAGATGATTCCGGTAGTAACAATAGTGGGGAAGACGATGACTGTTTCTGTTGTTCTAAGCAGATGGTAGAGGAAGAAGAAGAAGGTTATGATGATGCATTTGACAATTGGGATGGTTTTAAAGATGCGTTTAACTCCTTTGAGAACGAAGACAATAAAGGTTCTGCTGCTGCTTTACATGAGACGAAAACAGAAGAAGTTCCAAAGCCAAATACAAACCAGAGGAGGAGGAAGTCATCACCTGCAAAGCTCTATCATAAGGACAAGTACTTCAAGCAAAAACCTTCACCCGAAAAGGCGATTCAGAAAAACAGGAGAAAGAAGAAGAAGTCTGATCAGCAGCAAGATTGTGATGAGAAAAGCGAATGTCCTATTTGCTCTGAAGAGATGGATGCAACTGATCTAAGCTTCTTACCATGTCCTTGCGGGTTTCAGCTATGTCTCTTTTGCCATAAGCAGATCAATGAAAACGATGGTCGTTGTCCAGCTTGCAGGAAAAAGTATGAGACAAGTAATAATAGTGGAGAAGTTGGTTTCCAGCAACGCGGTCGTGGCACGATTCGTTTGTCTCCATCGTTTAGAGGACTTGACAGAGCCTAAGAGAGAAAGAGAGTTTCCATGAAACCTCAATATGATTTCTTTTTTGTGCCTTAGTATCTCGATTTCATCAGGAACAATTTTGTGTTCTAGATTTATCATCTCGGCAAAATAACATTTGATCCATGCTTTTGTGAATTGAATTCATATACATATAAAGAAAACCAAATTACTCTTTTATTCGATAC